TCCCTTGACCAATCAACTGGTTGAATGCAGAAAAGAATAATAAATAATAAAATAGTATAAATCTTTAGAAGATTTATATAAGCTTTGAATATATTTAAGGGTATTCGCTCCTTAAGAGTAGCGCCATGATGCAAGAAATGTCGCCCCAAATCTGTGTTGATCCGGGCCTTACCGGAAAGGCCCGGATGGCGCCTGTGCTAACTGAGCTTGGGGTGATGAGCTGTAGCCATAAATTCTTATATGAACCCCTGAAACGAGTAAAGACCGCTGGAGCCTTTGCGCAGTACAGAAACCCAAACGAGAGCTTAAAACTACCTTGGGAGACTGGAGCCATGGGCAGTGTGTTTAAACCTTCTGTTAGTCCAGTGCTGCCTGGTGCAAATGCTCTAGTGGAGAACTCAGAAGTACGTGGCTCGGCAGTTGACAGAGTTGAGCAAACCTCGAGTGTGGACCTGAGTGTTCGGCTTGATGCATGCTACATGGAAGCCATCACTTGTACACAAGACTTGGACTACTTCACAAGCAAACGCATTGCTACAGAGAAAGCCTGTGGAATTTGGTTGGATTTGATCGCCTGTAATTGGACTGCAACGAAAGTTGGAGCCCAGATCTGCAGTGATCTTCGTGGGGACCCCAGTGGTGAGAGTGCGATTGAAACATTGAAGGCATGCTTTGGCACCAAGAGCCCGAACACTTTGTTGAAGCGTGCTTCGTCGTTGAAGAGGTTCTTCAAGTGGCATTCCGGGCATTGTAGAGAAAGAGACGTTCATGTTGAGCCAATTCCCCTGGTTGAAGAAGATGTTTGGAAATACTTTCACTATTTGAGAGCTGACCGTGTAGCAGAAGGCCGAGGTTACACTACGCCTGGATCTTTCCTTGAAACAGTGAGGTTCACCAAATTCACGGTTGGGTTGAAAGGTTCTGAAGATGTCCTGGAGTCAGGGAGGCTGATTGGCTTTGCAGCTCTTGAACGACGTGAGAAAGGACCAACCCGCCAGGCACCTCCAATGGAAGTTGAGCATCTTCGTAGGCTACATGACATTTTAGCAAGTGATGCGAATCTGACTGACAGGCTAGGTGCTGGCACTTTCCTTGTTTGCATTTATGCTAGAGCCCGTTGGTCAGACATCCGCTTCATTCACCACGTTGAGATTGAGGCCAAGCGAAACGGCTGTTTTGTCATTTATACAACTGAGCACAAGACTTCGCAAGTTGGCTTGAGACGAGAGCAGTACTTACCGCTGGTGGTGCCATGGGATGGTGTGGTACATATGGATTGGTTGAAAAGTTACTTTGAGCTTTACAAGCAAGCAGGCCTCAATATCAGCAATGTGCCTTTAGGTCCTTTGTTACCTGCACCGAAGATTGGAGGAGGATTTGGAGCAAGGCCATTGAGTACACCGGAGGCCTCAGCCTGGCTCAAACTCTTGCTTAGAGGCACGACAAACTCGGAGACTTTCCGCTCGCATTCATTGAAAGGAACCTTGTTGAGCTGGTGCGCACGCTCGGGTATGGATCGTGAAGTCAGGGCTGTGCTAGGACACCATTGTTCGTCCTTGACCGGGAGCGATGTCGTTTATGCCAGAGAGCTTCAGACAAGGCCCATTCGGAAACTGCAAATGCTGTTAAAGAACATCCGTCTTGGAATGAGTTTTGAGGACATCGCAGAGCATGGCACATTGATTTCGACCGCACCGTGTGTTCTGCCACCGAGGCCCTGTGCTTATACCCCGCCTTTGTTGCAAGGACCTCCTGTTCACGAGAAAGAAGCTTTGTCAGCTCGTGTCGACGAAGTCGATGGGGCTGCTGAGATTATGAACCTCAAGGAGGACCTGAGGAGTGTGAAAGAAGAACATGATCTTGAGAGACAAAGTTTGTCACTGGCTGAACAGCTAAGTCTTTTCCCATTAGGTGTAGTCAATGGAGGCCTCATTGAAATTGAGTCTTCGAGCGGCAGTGATTCAGAGTCGAGCTCTGACGCAAGCGATGAAGAGCCTGGAGCACGAAGTCGCGAGCCAGAGAGCTATGCTGAGCGAGTGCCAAATGGGCAGACCTATATGCGAAACACCAACAGCGGCCTGGTGCACAGCGCTAAGACTTCAGGAGAGTTCACAAAGTGTGGCATCAAGGTTGCAGGGCATTTTGCTGTGCTAGAAAAGTTCATCCATGTCAAGATGCCGAAGAGCCTGAATTGTTTCCCAAAGGATCCCGACCGGATTCGCAAGCTAGATGACCTGGTAACACACTTGGACTTGGCCGTTAAGCGGGCAAGGGACAAGAACAAAGAGTAGGCGTTCCGCCTTGAGAGAAAAGTTGCGGAGAGCCGTATCAAGTTCCGTGACGGTCACCATTTTGGAAGCTTGGGTCCGCGCGCGCGCGCGCGCCCTTTTGGGCTCCAAACGGCTGTCGGAGGCGCGCGCGCGCGGACCCAAAGGCACAAAACGGTGACCTTGCGGAATCTTTAGAGAGCCGCGAGTCAGAGCATTGCTCTGGAAGAGTCTTGTTTGAAAGGAGAGATGAGCGTTGCTCATGTGCAAGTTGCAACAAGTTTTTCTTAAGAGCGAAGGCTCAAGGGAACAGAGTGTGCCATTGGCACTTAAGCGGAAGCGAATGCTTCGCAAAGGAACACGAGCATATCTTTGATATGAGACGTACAAAAGAAAACGCAAACGCTAAACCAACGTTGTGTCTGAAACGTGTAAACTCACTTGCTCAGTGAATCCAGGCCAACATGTTCTCACCTTAACGTGGAACTAGGTTTCTTCTTCTTGTTCACTTGTTTTGTGTAGTTTCTTTGCTGTGAGCGCAATCGCGAATCTGATAGATAGTGAGGCCCACTTCCAATCCAGGGCACTGGAGGTGGGAATGTCTGACGGTGTGCGACAGGCTCTTCGAGATGGTGGCATTCGGACCATGAGCCATCTGGCGTTTGCAATCGGCCAGCCAAACCAGCCACTTACAAATGATGAAGTAGGAGCTTTTCTGAGAACCCTCCTATCGAGGGAGGCAACCTTGCAGGAAGTAGCGTTGATCAAGAGAATCACGTTCGAAGCTCAGACTTACTTAGTCGCTTTTTTACGCCAAGGAGTAGAGCAGCAAGATGACACACTACCAAAGAAGATTCCTTTCGCTGAGCGACAGACACGCATGGATGCTTTGAAGACCCGTTTGACAGGTGTGGCCATTAAGGGCGAACTTGAGCCCGCCCATGTTGTTTTGGAGCGAGCTTGTCAGATGTATGACCAAAACATCATAAAGTTTTTGGAGCCTTCTGTTTGCATTGTATAGTCGCACATATGAGATCCAAGGAAGCAAACAAACGAGAGAGTTAGCCTTTGAGAAAGGAACAATTGTTTTGAAAAACCAGGGTGAAAAGCTTAGCACCGTGACAGACAGCGAGTTGAAACTCCACTTTGCTTTCACTCGCCGTGCAATCGCTCTGGAGTTCGCCAGGATCATGAGTTTTGATCAGCGCAATGAGTGGGAGACCTTTTTAGTAGAAGCATTGCATCGTGAGAGTCCACCGGGATACAACAAGCCATCCCTGGCCCAGGTCATTCAATGTGACAGAGCAGCCTGGGCGAGACTCGCAAGTACCGTGCACTCGGTCAAGCAGTTGATCGACGGTAGATATCCTGTGGGCGAGGCCCTTTTAGTTCGAGCCGACCCGAACATCACGCTCTACCTGGCACCAGTTGCCAAGCCTGTGCAGATTGAGAGACCGAAAGATTTTCCAAGGCCAGGACCCTATGGTCAACAGTCCGAAAAAGGCAAAGGCAAGAAAGGTAAAGAGAGAGGAAAAGGTAAAGGAAAAGGTGGTGCTCCGCCAATGCCTCGTCAGCTGATCGGCAAGTGGCGCAAAACGCCACAGGGTGAGCCCTTGTGCTTCGCATACAACACAGTCGATGGATGCCCAAATTCGACTACCGTGAAGCCTGGGGAGCGATGTTCCCGTGGATGGCATTTGTGCATGGAACCCAAGTGTCAGGCAAAGCACAGCCTGACTGAGCACAAACATTGACATCAGCCTTCGCAAAGTGAATTCAGGTCTTGGCCTTCAATGCATGTCGAGCAGACTTTCATGATTGAAGTGTTTTGCGGTTGTGCGATCCTTTGTGCCACGGCTAAACAGCATGGCCTAGCTGGATCGATCGCAGTTGATAAAGAGAAGAAGAAAGGTGCTCGTAGTTCTGTGTTCCAGCTCGACCTCAGGAACTCTGAAGATCGCTTGTTGCTGGAGCACTGGATGGATTCGCCCCCTTTGCTGTGGATGCATTTTGCACCTGTTTGTGGAACGGCCTCAAGGGCCCGAGAGATTAGAGTGCATTGGTCAGATCCGAGACCACTGCGCAGCAATGAATTTCCGCATGGGCTGCCAAGCCTATCCGGGAATGACAAGCAACGTGTTCTCATCGCAAATGACCTCTTTGAATACACTTGCAAGCTTTTCAAGAAAGCGGTACAAGCGGGCATCTTAGCAACAGTTGAGAACCCAAAGAATTCATACTTTTGGGTCACGGATTGGTTCTTGCACCTGATGAAAACCTGCAGGTTGTTTGTGACTTCCACGTTTGCATGCTCGGCGGCACTCGAAACAAGTGGACCCGCATTGTGGCGAATTTCCAAGAAATTCAGCAGCTCTCCATAGAGTGTGACAAGTCCCATGATCATGAGCCTTGGCGCTTCGCCCAAGATTCAGACGGAAAGCGAGTCTGGGCCACAAGCCTAGAATCAGCATACCCCCGAAAGATGTGTATTGCTCTTGTGCAATCTGTACTTCAAGTTGCCCATTCGTTCGGCTTGATCCTGCAGCCGCAATCCATGAGAGATATTCATCTTCACCCCCTGCTGAAAGCCCAGGCTGCCCAGGTGTCCAGCGGCCTTCAACCCCGACGAAAGGTGCCACCATTGGTGCCTGAGTTTACTGCTACTGCTTCTTTTCATGCCGACAA